TGTGTGTGTGTGTGTGTGTGTGTGTGTGTGTGTGTGTGTGTGTGTGTGTGTGTGCGTGCGTGCGTCTGCAGTCAGACCCTTCAGGTGAGAATCACTGATGATGAAGAGTACGAGAAACATGAGAATTTCTTCATCGTTCTTGAGGAACCGCGCTGGCTGAAGAGAGGAATCTCAGGTGTGTGTACAGTATGTGTGTTGCACTGTAAGGACTATGAGATTAACTCTATTAGTTTTTAGAGTGGTTTTGGGCATTCATCTGACATTCGAGTTCAAGTGGTTTCCGATACAGTTGGCTCCACTCCCAGCCCTAATGAGCTTCCTTCCTAGACAGTCTTTTTAGGCTTCATAGGCGTGTTCCAGGCTTTTCCAAATGGAAGACTGCGAAATGATGCTGCTTTATAAGATACCTTTGTTTTTGACCAAAATGTAAATGCACATATATGCCATAAATATAATAATAATAAATAAAAAATATATAATAATAATTAATATTAATAAAGTACAATAATAAATATATATTTCATTCACAATCATATATTTAAATTATAATTTATAAATATATATATATATATATATATATATATATATATATATATATATACAGTTGTTTTTTTGTGTGTTTTTTTTTATATATTAAACTATTTTTTTATTCAGCATTAAAAAGTATCAATGGAAAATAGTTTTTATTAAATAAAAATATAATATTTCACCCAATATTTGTATGCTTTTATTATTTCAATAACAATGATAATAATCATCATCATATTAAAATAGATTATTTATTATTGTTGTTATTATTATTATTATTATTGAAATGATAAAAAACATATACAGATATTGGGTATTAAGAAGAAGAAGAATCACCATCGTAAACAACAACAAGACGACGAAGAAATTATAGGTTTTGGAATATTATTTGTTAGCCTAGCAACCACTTAAAAATAAAATGCATACATGCATAATTTCTGTTAGATTTTAATGCTGATTTGACATTGAAAAGAGATCTTGACAGTCACTCATGCTCCTGTATCACTGTAAAATAGCAGCCTGAGGGTGTTTCTAAGATGGTCACCAAATTCACTGAATTGCCTTAAAGGGACTTTGCTCTGCTGGACTATTTGACACTAATGGATTCAGCTGTTAGCAGTAGTGTTGCTTGCGTGCGTGATGTGCACAGCGCTATTTGTCTGAGCCTTTCAGACCAGTCACTTATGAGATGCCGTTCTTGCTAGGATGCTGTTTTAGTATTCAGAGAAGCAGCTCACTAGGGTTTGGAGCAGAGCCACAGTCATGGGATACATGCATGTAGATGCGTGTGTGTGTGTGTGTGTGTATATGTGTGTTTATTAATGGAGTAAACTCATCTCCAGCACTAACTCCATCTCTCTTGTCCCTCCTTACATCATGCAGCCCTGCTGCTGAACCAAGGTAAGGTTTCAGATCAACCTCTGATCAGCTGACGTGTCCACACTAGCCCTCATGTTACACACTCAGCAGAGAGGATAGAAGGGGCTAAAAGCTTCTCTAAAGCCATGAGGGATGTGATTACGGTGTGAAAAAAGGGATCAAGAGCAGACTGTTGAGAGAGAGAGAGTTCAAAACATTAGACAGAAAGTAAAAAAATATCTCAATGGTAGTTGTCGCAGTCCAATCAATTCCAATTTATACTCACTCTGTTACTGAAGCATAATGGGTTGTGAATGACATTTTAGTTGGTAGATTCACAATCTGGCACACATGCATTCAGAACGTCTCTCAGAGCTTGTGTTGTTTTGTTCGTGTGCGTGTCGTGCTGTGATACATGGCGTCTTATCGATCTGGAGCTGTTGTGTTTTTGATTGACAGGTAGGGGGTGTGCCCTCCGTTTCCGGTCTGTTGTATCTCATCCATTCTTTTCTGTCTTCTGTCTGTGTCCTTTCTTTTATCGTCTCTGGCTTTCAGAGGATCCGGAGGGGCAGATGAGTGCGGAGGAGGAGGAGGCCAGGAGGATAGCGGAGATGGGGAAACCTATCCTGGGGGAGCACAGCCGTGTGGAGGTGGTGATCGAGGAGTCCTATGAATTTAAGGTATCACAGTTAAAAACACTGAAAATTTTTTATTTTTTTTTCCCTTTGAATTTTCTGTAAGGTTTCACATCTGAAAACATAGAAAATAGTCAGTCCATATTTTATTTTATTTTATTTTATCAAAGAGTTCTATAAATTTACTGTAAGGTATCTGAAAACATATTTTTATATAATT